ATCCCTGCATCAGGAAGCAGCCCCCAGGCAGGCAGGCCCCGGTGTAGCCACACATAGCCAGGACTTCCCTGTGGCTTAATTCCTCATTAAGAAGCCTCCTGTTATTGCAACAGGCAGGGTCAGGTCCCAGTGCAGCCATGTGTTGTCTAATGCCTTAATCCTGGAGGAGAGCTAACCTGGGGGAGGAAAGGTCTGGTGAAAGCCCTTCTCATGGGATTTCTACCAGAGAACCTGGGAGCCCCTGCCCAGTGAAGCCCTACCTGGGTGCCCTTCTCTGGGACTCTGCTCCCAGGGGCACAGAGGGCTCCAGGGGCTCCTAGGACAACCACAGCCCCATGTGCATGGAGCACAACCCCCCTGAGGGTGTCCTGCACTCTAAGCTTGCTTGTGAGGCTCCGTCCTGCTCCTGTTGTCCTGCTCCTGCTGTCTCCCCGGTGTGCTCTGCAGCTGAAGGCCAGACCCTGCTTAGCCCTGCAGGGAAGGAATTAAGCTCCTTTGGGCAGGAGCAGGCATAGCAGAGGAGGGAGCAAGCCATGCCGGGTGGGATGCAGCTCCGTGATAAGGGAGTTTCCCTCCCCACCACCCTCTGGGGAAGGCAACGGGCAGCAGAGCCATCCTGGGCAGGACAGCATTCCCCCTCGCCTCTCCCCCCTCTGGCATGGTGCCCAGGAATCCCAGCACATTCCCTGGAGCTGAGCTCAGCCACACAGCCATGCTGGGCTGTGGGGGGAAGACCAGCCCCCACCCAAGAGCCCAGCAAGCTCTCGCCCCTCACCGATGCCCCCCAGCACCTCACAAGGCCCCTATGTTGGGTGTTTCATGAGAGCACCACAGTCAAACTCAGGGGGGCCCAGTGTTTTCAGCCCCCATCCCATCTGTTGCCAGTGCTCAGGGATGGGGGATGGGATGGGGCTGGCTGCGGCCCCAGCCTGGGCACAAGGGATCTGAGCTCTTTTAACAGCGGAAATTAGAGTCTTATTTAAAGAGCATGCTAATCAGGGTGAGCAGCCGGCCTGCTCCCTCCCTGCAGCTGGCACTCCTGTCTAGACATGGGGTGAAGCCCTCCCACCAGTCCTCTCACCCAGAGGTCTCAGCAGCCAGCCTCCCTGCACCCCAGACTTCCACAACACCCCACTGGGGGCACAGCCCCTCACGCCAGCCTGGCACTGGCAAGGCACAGCCACATAGGAACATCATCCAGCACTTCTTGCCCTGGGGAGCCCAGCAGGGAAAGACAGAGGGCAGGTAAGGGAGCTAGGAATGCCACTGGTAATCCCATAGCTGCCTGCAACAGCTGTGTCTGGGCTCCTGGCAATCCCAGTGGCGCAACAGGTCTTTTAATGGGTGGGACTGGGAAACCTGTTCATCTCACAGAGAAGAAAATTGGTCAAGATAGGTTTTATCCAGGGAAGCAGAAGGAGCAGGTCATGCAGCACCCGCTCCCAAGGAACGTTTGGGCGCCAGCAGCCCTTATCCTTCACATTCCCAGGTGTGGCACCGCGGACACACAGGGAGCCAGGGCATTGCCAGATGTTACCAGTGAGTCTGGAGCACACCCTGTGACAGCACAGAAGAGGTGCCAGCAGGTCCTGGGCTAGTCAGCACAATGTGTTTCCAGTGCCTGGGGCTCCCGAGTGGCGACAGCAGGGCCAGGGCTGTTCCCAGCCTCGATGCGGCTGGCTGACCTCTGCAAATTCACTTCCTCCCTGCCTGCCTTAGTTTCCCCATCTGTGTCACCCTGCTCCACCCTCCTTTGTAAAACAAGGCAAGGTCCACTGATGAAGGGCAGGAGATAAGAGGGAGGGAGTTATGTCATTAGCTGCACCGGTAAACTGGGAGTAAATAGAAAATCGAAACGGTTGGCAGGGAAGTGAGCAAAGAGGGGTGGGTGGCAGCAGAGCAGAAGCCCTCTTCTGGGCTCTGTCCATGCTGGGGACCACTAATCTGTGTCCCCCCTTCCCCCCCCTCCCCCAGGCCCTGGCACCATGGAAATGGGGCACTGGGCTAAGCACACTGAAGGGTGGAAGAGGGGTCTCCAAAAGGATGTGCAACAGCAGGGCATAAGGTGCAGAGTAGGATCAGTGAGGACCTCTGGACAGAGCCCCCAGGGGAGCAAAGCCAGGATGCTGCCCGCAGCCCCCATGTCTGCTGCAGAGCACACACAGGAAAGTAAGAGAGCGATTTAGAAAAGAGATGCAATAGTGGTTTCAGGGCTGGAGAAAATGTCTGGCACAAACACACCCGGCTCAATCTGCTCAGTCTATTGGAGAGGGAGAGGCGGCTCACTGCAATGTCCGTGTACCCGAGAAAACGGCACATCTGAAATCACACAGGGAAAGGCAATGGGAACCAGCTGCTCCTGAGGGACAGCCCAGCTCTGCAGCACAGCGGGGAACCAGCGGGGTACAATCCTCAGGGAAAAGGGCAGCTTTTCACCACTGATGTCTCCTGTCCACTCCAGACAGCATTTCTGAAAGAAGTGCTTGGCTGGAACGGTATAAGGCTCAATCTAGGGGCAAGCCTGGGACGCCAGGGCACAGACACACTGACCCCTTTGGCTTTCACACTGGGAACACAGTGAGACAGCTGTGCTGGTACCACAGCACCCTACCAGGCCCTGGCTGCACATCAGGGCTGAGCTATCTGCGTAGGGACAGAGATGTCCACGTCCCCTCCCTGTCCCCCACGCCCACCAAGGCTGGAATGAGACTGGACCCAGCAGCCACACAGAGGAGGGAGTTGTCAGTGCCCACAGCCATGGAAAGCAACAGCAGGAACAAGGGAGGTGGGAAGAAAACAGGTCCTGCACTGCCCTGCCAAGCTCCATCCTCCTCGCAAGCTCAGGCAGCCAAACCCCAGCTCGGATCCTAGGTTTGCCCCACTATCCTGCTGAGATCTTGGATGCAACTCACCGCACAAGCACAAAGCCCCATCTGGCCCCCTCCTGCCCCTCTCTCCTCTCCAGCACACACACGCTGGCTCCTGCCTCCTCATCCTGCTCCCACCACCCAACATTCACTGCTCCCTCAAATCCTATGTACGAGTGGCCCTGCAAGAACATGAACAACGGGTGGGAGAAGGAGTGTTTTGTGGCTCCTGCAGGGTGTGGGAAAACAGAAACAGCAAAGCAAAGGGAGATTGTGGCCTGGCTCAGAGACAGGAGCATCCATTATTAAAGAGCCGTATCCATGCCTGACATTATTAAATGCCTCTTCCTGCTCTGAGGTGCTGCTGCATGCTCCAAGCCAGAGATCAATAACAGGAACCTGGCCAGTGGGGAGGCCATGGCATCCCCAGGACAGGGGGGAGCATGGAGGAGAGAGACCCCTCTGCACACCTGCCACGGCCCCTTGCAGGACACCTCTCTCATAGCTGCTGGGTCCTGGGGATGTCCCTGATGAGTGGGGAACAGCCCCAGACTGGAACAGGGACACCAAGGTCCTGCTGGGACCTGGCCACCCAGTTCTGCTGCACGTGGGAGCATTGTTCCACACAAGGGACACAGCACACGCTGCTGAGGACCTCAGCAACTCCGGTGGGAGGTGCTGGGGGTCCTGCCCAGCCTGAAGCTGCTCTTCCAGGGTGGGCAAAGCCACTAGAAACACGGCTTATGAGCAGCCCTTGTCCAACTGAGCTTGAGATGCCTGAA